CCCTGCCCTGACTCATCTGGGCAGGGCCGTTTCGAGCCTACCCCTGCCCCGGGGCAGGGGGTCACCTCGTGGGGCGTGGCACCAGAGCCGCTCCCCTCCATCGTCTCGTGGGGCGCCGCACCAGAGCCGCTCCCCACCATCACCTCGGGGTCGGCTGCGGCAGGCCCGCTTTCCTTCGTCCACCGGTCCTCGGCCGGCACGCCGTGCGAAGCGGCGGACCCATCGGCCTCCGCCGACCTCACCGATTCACTCCCCTCCGCGTGAAACGCGAAGGGCCCCTGCACGGACGGGCGGCCACTTATCAGCGTGTCCTCGTCCTCCAGGACGTCCCAATCCACGCCGACGGCTACCTCATCGTCGTCATCGTCATCGTCGTCATCGTCACTGCTCACGTCCTCTCCCCGATCCCGGGCCTCCTGCTTCTGTCGTTTCGCCCTCTTCATCTGCTCCCTTGCTTTCTTGTCCCGCTTGGCCGCGAGTCGATTCACCGCCGCCACGGCCTTATCCTTCGACAGCGGAACCGGACTATCTTTGAAGACTAGCCTCCTTGGCTGGTTCCAACATCACGAAAGCAAGTATTAAAAAATGGTGATTCAGGAAAAAGAAAAGAGCACGGGAGAAGAGGACTTACGAATTCGAGGAACCTGAGTTCTGGCCGCATTGGGGGATGTCCGGGCACCGGATACACAATGTCGAGGACGCTGCCTTTGGAGTCCTTCGTTGGCTCTGTCGCCTCCTTAATGCGCTGCGCCACTTCCGAAAAAGGGAGTGCCTCGTCAACAAGCACTGTCCCCTCGAACGACATTCCAGGCATCATCCGATACAGGGGAAGCACGCGAGCCATCTATGGCGCCACCCTCCTTGCATGATAGGTGCCGATAATCCCCGTCCCCTTTACGCCCTGATCCTTCAGGGCTTGAAGGGCGGAAAAAAGGTCGGAGAGGTGTTTCTTGTCTTTAGACTGGACGCCCCAGCTCCACGACTCCGGAGCCTCTTCAATAAGGCGTCCGGTGTACCTTGGTAGGGTGGCGCTCACATCATCCCTAACATAAAACCACTGCGAATGCCATCCCTTGTTGGATGTCGCCAGATGCATGTATGGGTAACCCCTCGACCGGGTATGTCGCAGATGAATGCTGGCACATCCCATTGGCGCGTTCACATCTTTCCCTCTAATCTTCCTCTTCGACAAACTAATGGTAAAGAAATACCGCCACAGTTCAAAATGGGGATCGATCCCTAGGAAACCCTCGCACAGGGCAACAAACGCCGCCATATGTTGAACCCCGTTGGGAGTTAGATGCTGCAGCTCCACCTCATAATAATCCAGCAACCCCCGAAGGAATCTATGCGTGGGTACAGCAAATCCCCGCTCATGGAAGATGGCGAAAGAAACGACATACCCTTCGGGCGGCACCGGCTCACCCTCGTCGCCAGGTAGCAGCCACTCCTGAACGGCGGACAGCGGGTGGAGAAGGCCACGGTGGATGAGGCCCTCCAAACACCATGGGGTGATGCTAGATCTGCCCCACAACTCCATCAAAGCAATTGGGGAGAAAAGGGGGCGCGAGCCTGATGGCGGCTACGGGGCAGCCACAAGATTGACGGCGGCTGCAGCACGGATACAAGCCGGCGGACGGTGGCGGTGTGGGCGCAGGAGGCTAGGTCGATTGGCGGTGGATGTTTCAAGACGCAAAGGCATGGGAGCGAAATACGGAACCTTGGGGGCGAACCCCGTGGTTTTATAGGGACGACGGACGCAAGAAGGGCAACCGTCCGCCTCGATCTCCGGGCCTACCACGCGCACCGCCGCATCACGTCGCGGGACACGCGCCCGCAGTCCCTATCCCTTCCTATTGAGAATCATGGTGGACGGTTCGCCTTCCAGGCGAATCCGGACTCCCTTCCCGCCTGGGGAAGGCAGGTCACAAAGATTTTTTCTATTTTGGCCCGCTTAGGGCCCTGAAGCTTGGCGGCTGGCCCAACTAAGGGCAGGTCCACGAACAATCCAAAATCAAGGGCGTAGGCATTACTGGGGTCTCGATCCATGGTCAAACCCTAGTTAGGATAGCCCTGAATGGGATCCCCGTGAACGGGATACCACGACCCCTTTGAAAAAATATCCAGTTGACAAAAAAAACCAAGTCCTTCAGCCTTACCCACGAAGGGTCCGATACACGCCCCATGGCGGTTCTATCCGAATGACCTGGAGGCTCGGGGGTTACACCCAACGGGTGCGCTCGCGCGCACCCTCTGGCGAAATGACTCTGACAAAATCAAAAAACACCCTCCAGGCGGTTCTATCCAAATCGCCTAGAGGCTCGGGGGCTACTGTCAGGGACCTAATACTAGGATACCCCAGAAGGCAGAACCAATAACCATCGAACGTTAAAAACGTCTGGACGGACAAGGGCGCCGCTGCGTTCCTTACTCGAATGACGAAAGTTAGGTTTCTTCTCGCCCGACGCCTCTGGACCAACCCCGCCTCGCACGAGGGCAAAAGGCCCCGAGGGCAAGGGGCTGGCCTCTGTCTCGCCCGACGCCTTTGGACCAACCCCGCCTCGCCCGAGGGCAAAAGGCCCCGAGGGCAAGGGGCTGGCCTCCGTCTCGCCCGACGCCTTTGGGCCAGCCCCGCCTCGCCCGAGGGCAAGGGGCTAGCCTCCGTCTCGCCCGAGGGCTAAGGAATACACTCCGCCTCGCCCGACGACCAAGGACGAACCTTGCCCCGATCGATATCCAAAGGCTGGTTTTATCTTACCTGATAACTTCTCTCCCGTCCCCTCATGATGACAGGTACAGTGCAAGACAAGACGTTCGGGTCAACCATGGCTTCAAGGACCATACCCTGCGCCCCGGTAGGAAAGGTACTGCCAGGGAACGACTGGACAGGTGCTTTAGACCCTCCCGGGCGCCGCAGAGCCCAAAAGGTGTTGTAGGCGCGTACTCCTCGCCCTGTAGAGTTGTAGGCGCCGCCTTCAGCTCTGGGACACGAGACCCGATGAAGATACACGACAACCACTACACTCCAGAAAAGGATTTGTAATCTCCACGAATGACGGACATGCCGTCACCACATTATGGACCCAAGGGAGCGGCGCCCGCTTCCCGACCCCTCGGGTCCACCAAATCGCAGGACCTTGCCCACAGCGCTACTCCGACCTCGACTCCGCGTCCCTACGATAGAGACTCATAGAGCCAGAAGGCGTGCGGAGCAAGGCTGGGTGAGGTTCATAAGTTAAAACCACTGTACTCCAGCCCATGCCCTGCGCAGGGTACTATTCTATAACCATCTTGACATTCTACAGAAGCATCGACAGTATTGTAGGCGCTTATCTTCCTTTCGCACCCATCAGAATGGGTAAGGAGGCTAGGTAGAGCACGGATCCTAAGCCACTGACCCTTGTAAAGCCATCCCCTTCATCTATAAAATGGGATGCGCCTCCTTCAGACAGGAGGACGGACAGAAAAACAAGGCAACACACACACATAGTCAAGCTACCACCAAGCTCTCGACTTCCTTTCGACCCTTCCATCAGAGACTTGGGACCTGTTCCTCTCTCGATCGTTTGTATCCCCTACTACGAACCATTCACGGTGCTAATAACACAAGCAGCAACAAACTGGACGTAGGGAAATTCAGCCCGAACCAGTACAAATCTTGTGTCCTTTAGCGCACCATCCGAGCCTAACGCGCATTACTATAAATTTACTTGTCGGTGCTTGTACGAAACACCGACACTTATAGTTTGGTAACTCCTAAAAAGATTTGAGGTGGAAAAAAGAAGATCATCTCTAAAAGTTTTTAATAAATGACATCTAAAAAATAAAATTTAGAGCCCACGTCAATTATGTTGCGGCTTTTTTCTTTTTCATCACGCGAAAACACTGAGACCGCGAGCTCCCTGCCGCCGCCGCCATCGTCCAGCCAGCCGCGGCAACCACCCAGATGTGATGCAGCTAGGAGCGCCTCGCGCTCAAGTCCGGCGTCCGTCGAGCACGCGTGCGCTGCTCCTGCTGCACCCTGGACGTGGCGCGGGAACAAATCCGGTAGCAGCACGGCGTCGAGGTCCGAGTCCGAGCCGCAGCGGCACGAGCTGCATGGTGCGGCGAGGAGCTTCATGGCGGACCGTGGCGGCAGAAAATGGCGCGCGCGACCGATTCCGACCGAGAGGACACACAGAGCACACTCAATAAGCAAGCAAGAAAGTACCAGCAGCTCATGCGCCTACCCTGCACACCAGTACAGCCGAGCCTCGTTGATCTCCGACGCCCGGCCATCTCCTCCCGATTCCTTTGACGGTGTGCCTCCCCAGACCCTCCTCCACCTTCCCCAAGCAGTGCCTTGTCTCCTTGCCTGTGCCGAGCTCTCCCGAGCTCCTGCTGTGCGTCCATGGCGGACGGAAGCAGCGGACGACGAAAGCTCCGTGCTCCCGTCCGTGGTCTCTCTCTCCCTTTGGTATTCTCTCCTTTGCGGCTGGGCAGTGTCGGCAGGTGCTGTGGACGTGTTCGCCAGAGATGACAACCTTGCCCTCGATGCCGTCGCGCTCACTGGAGACGACGAACTCGCCCCGACGCCGTCGAAGGATACGCGGTGCGGCGCGTAAAGTTACGCGGATGAGGGAGATTTTTTTCAACTTCTAAAATATTAGGAGATTGTATTAGGAGTTGTTGGAGATGGATTTTTGTGGATCTTTCTAAAAACTTAGAATTAGGAGGAGGTTTAGGAAATTCTTGAAGATGCTCTTATGTTCGAAAACTAATGATTTCTTAAGAAAATTTGCAACTTGCAGCAAACTCTAAAAACAAAAGAAATTACCAGAGGGTAACAAAGAGAAACCCAGCTAAGTCTTCAGATTTCAGAAAAATACAGGGACTGAAACGCAAATTCGGCCACCGTATTTATGGACCCTTGCCTGTCCCCGCCTTCCCCACACGGCCACACCTCGACTTCACCCACCGCCACCCAGCCATCACCGCACGCGCGCGCTCGTCTCCCACCCATGCCGACCGGCGAGACGCTAAAGGCAGGGACTCAATCTGAATCACCAGTGCCGCCGCCGCCGCCTACACCGACGGCGACAGCCTCGTCCTCCCCAGCGTCGACCCGCCAACGTCGCCACCGCACCTTCTCCTCATCGTCGTCTTCGTCCTCGTCGTCCCTCTCCACGGTGTCCTCGGCGGCATCCTCGCCGTCGCTGTCCCCGCGCGGCCGCGGCACCACCACCACCTCCGTTCCCTTCTCCTGGGAACACCACCCGGGCATCCCCAAGACGCGCCTTATCCCCGCCGGCACGCCGTCCTCCGCGCCCACGCCGCTCCCGCTCCCGCCGCCGCTTCGGGCGCCGCCGACGACGACGTCAAGGCCGCGCCACCAACAGCACGCCCGGCGCCGACGCTCCCGCGGAAATCCGCCGCCGGCCGACGACGCGGCGGACCCCTTCGCCGCGGCGCTCGTGGAGTGCACCAGGGAGCGCGGCGCCGGCGCGGGATCGGACGACGCCGGCCTCATGGACGCGCTGTTCCCCGCGCGGGCGCCGCCAGCGCCCACCAGCCGGCGGTGGTCCATCGCGTCCGCCGGCGGGGTCGTCGGGCTCCTGGACCTGTATGGGTGCAAGAGCGCCATGGGCGGCGTCGCGGAGGGCGCCTTCGTGGCGCGCCGCCCGGTGGCGGTGGTCCGCGCGGGCCCGGGCCGGGCCGGACGCAGATGAGGAGGGCCATGGTGATGGGTCGCCTCATGGACTCATGGACGGGCTCAGTTATTAGGTACATAAATAAATCGATCGTTGTGCAAAAATATTTTGATCGAAAATGAGGTTGAACCTTTTCCTTTTTCAGTTTTATATATTTTTGTGTTTATTTTTTATTGGTGCTTTTTGAGTGGATGTGATGGATACCAATATATAAATGTTTGGCGTAACCATCCACAAAACGATGTTGCGATGTAGATTGCTATATGCTAGTATATTGATGCTGATGGTACTATATTATAAAGATAATAAGTATAATAATGCAGCATATTATATTGGCATCTACTTTGTACTATTCTAGTTTAATTGCAAAAAAATATAATTTTTCTTATTGTAGGCTAGTGCCCCCATCCTTTTTTCTTTAAGCATGGAGCATTGAGAGAAAGGTAACTAATTTAAAATATATAAGTTGATTAGCTTCTTTCTAAAGAATCATATATGTTTAAAGAAGATATTAAACAATACTCGCTCCGTGCATCCAAAAAGACTTGCAATTCTAGATTTGAACTAAGTCAATTTGTTTAGGTTTATAGAATATATAGTATTAGCATTTGGATCTCTAAATAGATTTATTATGAAAATACATTCCAAAGTTAATCTAATGATTATTTATTTGCTTTTACAAATATCAGTATTTTTTTTTGTATTGATTAGATCAAACTATGACTACTCGTGCAGCGAGCGTTACGTGAGACGGAGAGGATTGGAGCCTAGTGAGAGTGATTTCTACTACCACCATGGCCAAGTGTGAAGCCTGTACCTATTCAAATACGACCAATATGCGCCGTCCAATTGACGCTTTTTTTTTCAAAATGCGTACGATATGAATGAATTTAAAAAGTGCGAAGCCACAAGCTTTTGGAATACGACCAAATATGCACCATCCAATTGACGTTTTTTCAAAACACGTACGTTATTACGAATTGAAAATTGCGGCCGATGGATGGATGGATCGGAAGGAGCGTTTTGTTTTAATTGGTGGGGACGTACGTAGGTGTATGTCGACTAGTTGTGGGCAGCTCGCTCCATATATTATTATATTGTATAAGGTGAGACTGGGCAGACCAGCGTGTTCTTATTATCTAGTCTCAACTTGTTTTAGCTTATTCTTTTTCACAGAATACTATTGAATCAGTTGAAATCAGCCGTCCACATCTTCCAAACTGGATCAGTCGAACACCCTGTATAATTTTAGCAATAGAACCCATTGAGATCGATGGATCGGTCGTCCTGTTCGTTTTGACTTGTTTGGCTGATAAATCATGGCTGAAAATACTGTTGACTGATTTAGTGTGAGAGAAAAATATTATTCGTTAACTGAAAAAATATGATTTATAAGTCAGACGAGCCAAACAAACGCTGGCACCCGATCGATGAAGCGGGAGTCAGGTAGCAGATGCATTAATGTCAGCAAATCCAGGTGTTTCCGATCCCGGGCTCAGGTCGGTGGCATCCGTTTGGCTCCTACTTTCCTGTAGTACATTGATTAGGTTGGAGTGCCTTTTTACTCTTCTGCAGAGGTTGTAACTGTGCTGAGTTTAATACTACTTCATCCACAAAATAATATAATTATGAAATTCATGCTGATCTCAAGTTTAATCAAGTTTAAGGTAAATAATATTCATAAATAATTTTATTATAAAAAACATATTCTATAAATAATCTAATAACACTTATTTTATATTATAAATATTAGTACTTTTTTATATAAATTTAGTCAAAGTTTAAACGACTTAACTTTTTGAAAAACGAGAATTGCATTCTCACGTGGACAGCTGCTCTGCAAGCTGATAGCCACGCCTGACAGACAATTACAGTACTATGCATATAACCACCATATTCGCTTGTTGGTTTCAGTCAGGCTTATTCAACTAGCCAACAGTGTTTTTCTCTCACAACAAACTAGCATCAGCCAGCCTAAACCAGCCTAGAAACCAACCAGCGAACACGCCGAACCTTTCAGAAGTGAAGGGCCCACCCTTGCATCTATGATCACCATTAATCACGCCCTTCATTTGTGCTGCCATGCTGTGTTGGACCAAATCTTTTTTACTGTGGCAATCGATCAGAACATCTTCAATAGTTTACTGACGAGCGAGGCCCTGCCTGGTCGATCCATCTGTCTGTCTGTCCCAAAGGCTAGCATGAAGCCGCCTCAACAGTTTTGCAACTGACGAAGCCTCAATGAGATGCATGCATGGGATGGGACCTGCAGGAATCAAAGCGCCAACAGTGGAGGTAGGTGAGAGTGGATATCCTATTCAGATCTGGGAGCAGAGCACACTGACGAGGGGATCCGTCGATCCAGATTCATCATGGCATCGTGCATGAATGGAGCTGGCACTGGCAGGCAGGATAGTCGATGGATCGGACGGATTGTACGCTGCCACAGTGCAGTGATGCTCTGATCGATTTGCTTCATTAAAACCAAGGCCTCGCTACTTCGCTAGCGTGCTCAACGAAATGGACAGGTAGATCATTATTATCAAGAGAAGGAAAAGGGACAGAGGTTGATGGATGATATGGACCCCCCCCCCCTGAGCTGTCCTCGTCGACTGTTACGTGTGCCTCAAGCCTGTTCATCAGCTCATCATTCGCATTAGATAGTTTCTTCGATCATGACACAATCAAGCACCTTTCGTGCATCCGGCTCACCTGATCCATCACATCTGCTAGTCATTAGTCAACAAGCTGTCTGAAATCTGGAGGATATCAGCACTTCAGCAGCAACCTCTTGATGATTGCCTGCTGAGAGTAGACAGCCTGTTCGGCGGTCTGTAACTGTCTGTATCTGGCTTAGCTTATCAGCCAGCCAACAGTGTTTTCCTCTCACACCAGACCAGCCAGCAGTACTTTCAGTCCATAGCTTATAAGCCAATCCAGCCGAAACGAACAGGCTAATGGTTTGCAATGCCTGATCGGTGCTCCACTGCTCCTAATTCGGTGGCCCAAGGGAACAAATCAAGGCCCCCAAAAGCATGCATGTCAACTAGGTTTTAGAAAGTAGTAAAAATATAGAGGTGGATGGAAGAAAGAGCATCCGCCTTTAGAAATACCATTCTATTTTTAAAAGCGGGTGGGAAGAGCATCTGCCTCTAGAAATATCATCTATTTTTAGAAGCGGCTAAAAATCCTAGCCATATAAGTGGATTTTGAGATACGGCTAGAAAGACCAACCGCCCCTAAAAATGCCATTTCTAGAGGTAGCCTAGCCGTCTAAAAAAATAGATTTATAGAGGTTGTTGACAATTTAGCCTGTCTATAAAAAAATAGGTACAGTGCAACAAAATTTATAAATTTTGAAAATGACATCGGACGTAGAAAAACAACCTAGCCAAAATCAAAGTTACAGTGCTCGAAGAGATCTCCAACTTTGTAGTTAAATCCTTTTTCATTTGAAATCAATGATGTCCTACAAATTAAGTTTTGAATTTTCAAAATTTTGAGATTCGTTTTTTTGAACTTTATAAACTCGTGTGGGGAAAGACGACCTAAACTAAAGTTGGAGTGCTCACAGAGATCTAACAATTTCAATTCAAATTTTTTGTCATTTAAAATCATTTATGGCCCAGAAATTCTATTTCAGTTTTTTTAAGTTTTGAATTTTTTTTTTGAATTTTTCAAAAGACGTTAGATGGAGAAATGACCTGATTCTATATTGTAGTAATTGAAGAGATTAAAACTTTTTCAGTTTAAATTTTTATGAACAAGGTTGTGTTTATATATACAAATTACCCACGAGTGATGAGGTTTAGCTTTCCACTTTTACAAACAGGGGGTGTGATTACACTAGAAAATTCGAACTCAAAAATTTAAATTTAAAATTCTTGAGTTACTATTCACAACACTATTCAAATTCAATGGTTACTATTCAAATTCGTGGCACTATTTAAAATACTCGCTACTATTCAAATTCGGAATAAGAACGGCGCATGAGCACTCACCCGGGAGTGGCTCAGGCACCCAAACTCTCCTCACTATGCCAGCACTATACGGAGCACTTATGGTGGATAGTGGATGCGTGCATGATTAGGTATATGCGGATTATGGGTATGCGTGTAATTCTCAGAATCTTTTGCAGGCTAGTGAGACCAAAGCTTCAGCTGCTCGTGCGACTATGCTTGTGTCAGTCCTACTCGGTACTCACCGTATCCATCACTAGCTCGCTTCAGAACCAGGCTAACCTGGTCTTCTCCTGGTTATCCCCAGCCACGCACACACATGACTCAGGCTCTATCGTCTTCCCAGACAGTTCTACCCGAAGGGAACACTTTTTTACGCACATAGGGTTCTCTACAAACGCCGCTACTAGGGCTAACACGAGAACAACACACGCAGAGATTTCTCCTCTAGGGTCCCTAGCATAGAGACATCGTCCCATATGAACGAGCTTAAAGGAAGGCAGAGATTAACACATGAAAGCTTAATTCATTTCCACATAGCAAGCTTACATACGGCTTTCCCTTTCAGGAAACCCCAAGCACTTAGCACAAACCTTAGGAATTATCTTACAAGCGCAGGATGGTCACAGGGACTTCCTTTATTCTCTAATTTACAACGATGGTGGAGTAATACAACGATAGTGGAGGATTAGTACTAAGGGTGGACGAACTCAGAGTGCTTCTGAGATCGTGGTCTTCATGGTGTATGTGGGAAAGCGGAGCGATGGCTTCAGTGGAGGTATTGCTGGTGGTGGTCATCGTAGTGGTTCTAGTGTTCAATGCATGCGTCTGGCTTCTTCTCTTATAGAGCAGGAAAAGCCTTCTAGAGCGTCCTTCGTGCTTATCTTTTGGAGGAGCCTTCAAGGCGAAGTCTTCAATTATTCATCTTTACTGTTGCCTAGATAGCTGGACGGTCCTATGGTCCTCAATAATTGTCTGGCTACAGCTGTATATTTCTTTTGTGCTATCCTCTGTCACGCTTTGTCTTTGCGTGTATTTTTGGATTTTCTGGGAATGGTC